GTCGTGGTGTGTGTGTACGTGCGACCGAACCGGCTCAGTCGTTCAAGGGCGAGTGAAGCGCCACGAGCTGAGGGTTGGTTCGTCGCGGCGGGAATGGACGTGGTTTTAGTTTGGGACTGGCTGGTGGCGACTTGGGATCGTCCCTTCCCTGCCTTTGCCCTGTCTTGCCTTGCCTTCCCTGCTGGACGCAGCTAAGACACGGTGCTAAGCTGCTAAAGGTACCCAAGACAGCTTGATCGCAAGGCAAGGTACCGCACTGTGATTGGGCCAGCAGCAAGCCTGACGCTGACGCTGCTGCTGATGCGTGAGTCGGGGTCTCGAATCGGGGCCGGGTACTTGTGGCCGAAGTATCCGTACGGTTCCTGAGTGCCCCAAGAATGGGACGTGGAATGAGCAGCTAGGAGCTCAACCAATGGAGGCGGGGATGCGACGGCATGCAGGAGCAGACGAGAGGTGAGGAGAAGACGTCGTCGAGCACGCGATATCTGCCTTATCTAGGTAGGTAGGTAGGTGCATTGGATATCTACGGAAGGAGGTGAAAGTACCTCAGGTAAGGTAAGGTAGGTAGAGATGGAGGCGGAGAAAGGCAGAGCAGAGAGACAGCAATGCAGCATAGAAGCTCCCTTGTCTAAGCTCCATTGATGTTGACCAAATCGGATCCATCTTTACTGGTACAACTATGCCGAACTGGCCCAACAGCAGATCGGCTTGCTGTTGCTTGCTAATGGGCTGCTGCCGCTGCCGCTGCTGCTTGCTCCATGTTTCCTGCATGTCTAACTGCGGACCGCAGGGATGGGGATGATGCACCCTCAACGTCACCCCCACCCGGCCACCCTTGGTCACTTCGCGTTCCTCACTCAGATTCTCGGCAGGCTGCTCCCGCCGCCGCCGCCCCAGGGCTGCCCACCCTGTAAGGATCCACTGCGCACGCCGTCTGCCGGGAGAGCTTCTCCGCTGCAACCTTGCTGGATGCGCCTCTGCAACCACCACGCCTGCCGCCATGTACCTACCTACTTGCCTTCACCCAAGGTGTATTGCCCTCGTGCTTCTTTGCTGCCCGGTGCATAATCGCAATCTCCACGTGTTTTCTCTGCGAGTGCTTCAACAGCGCAACTAGCGATACCGTCTGCAAGCTGGCAACATCTTCATCTCGGTATTACATTGCTCCTGTCTTCTCCCATCGGCCCAGCGCCGAGGATTGACCGCACTTGAAACAGCCATCTCATCATCTCATCGCCAGTGACCCATCCATCTGCTTCCTCGGCAGGTCATCATCTAGAACCACGTCCACCTGCTAATATGGGACATGAGTGTCGGCACCTTACCTCTCGTCGTCAGAAGCTCGCTGCTTGCACCTGACATCTGCCCCATAACCTTCCTTATCTACGCCCATGGCGGCTTGTCGATTCCGAGCATCTCGTACGGCGCGAGTATCTAAGTACAGACAGTCTCTGCCCTAGCAGTGCAATAAAAGGCGTTGAGAATCACTGGCGGCGCCTGATACCTCGGCACCGCAGTCCAAGCTACTTCCTGTGATGGCTCGACTTTGCAGTCATTCGTTGTATGGCAACGGGTAACGACATGCAGCCACGGGCTTTCGCCTTGCCTTCCGTTCCCGCCCCAACAAAAACATGGACTGCTGCAGCACCGATGCTGTCATATTCAGCCAATCCTCTGCAGTATTTCGTCCGAATCCACGGGCCTAGACCGGGTGATCAAAGTCGACCCGGTGGGAGGTAAAGCACGGGAAGTGAATCTCTTGCTTTCGCGGCGAATCTACCTCAGAGGAGGACCACCGTATTGTATCGCATTGGGACGAGTCTTTCTTCGTCACGGGGCCTCCACATCGCTGGCCGTGCCCCGGGGCTGGCCGAAGCGACTTTGTCATCGTCTGAATTAGACCTGATGGTTCAAGATAACCTCAAGAAAGCTGCCAGGATGTCAAACTGCACCTCGCTGCCGCGCGGTTCGGATGAGCATGTGGTGCAGTAAGGTCACCGAGGTGTTATTCCCGCGACCGCGTCCTTCAGCCCTCCTCGTTCCAAGCGCGCCCCTCCAGATTTTTAGTCATGTCGACTTGGGAATGTTCAGTCTCGACCCCGCAAGTCGGACTGCGAGCGAACGTTGTGGTGGCAGGATACCCAATGCTTCCCTTAGCCCAGTCAGAGACGCGGCTCGACTGCGCGATGTGGCCACAGCGCAAAATGCAATCGGACGGCCGCTGCCACCTTATTGCCCTCATAGGCAAGTCAAAGCACGACCAGTTTCCCTGCTGGAGGCCACCTCTAGCCGAGTCGTTTGGACTGTCGTCGTTTGATGTTGCAAAAGGAAGACGTCAAGACTTGGGTGTTTGCATCGCCTAACCCATCTGAGCTGATGGAGGCTGGCTGAAATATGTCTGAGAGTCGGGTGTCAAACGGAACCCCGCAATTCCTCTAGTTGGTTACGACAATGTCTCATTGACGTGTGCCAGCCGCGAGAACAAACGAACCGTGGAACCGAAACCTGCGGTTGAACACGAAGCGGACTACTCGTGTCCGAGATGTGTCATTTGCAAACTCGAAAACAAAATTATCTTCCGGTACAGAGCTCCGGCGCCATGTGTCTTGCTCAGCAAGCGCGACCGCGCGCAGCAGTTGGCTGTCTTATCCGGACAGCACGATCGACACGTAGAATGCCCTGTTCGCTCGTGTGCCCCATGGGCGTGAACATTGCCAGATTGAGACGCCGGGAATGTCATCCTTCCGTTTGCAAGGGATCACTTTTCTCGTTCGTCCGCCAGTGCAGGTTGTGTCTAATACCCAGAAGTAGACTCAATCTGCAACGGGAGGTTGACCGCCCTGAGACAGCTCCCAACCAATGCAAGAAGCTTCGGTCGGATTTGATCTGTCTGCATTCTGAGCCTTCCAGAAGCTGGTGTTTCAAGTCTGGTGAAGTAAGGCATGCTGGAAGGCCCTTACATCCATCTTGCAGGCAGATTGTCCAATGATGACAGAAGTGACTTCATCCAGCCGCAGGCTGCTAGTCTTGGGCCATCGCCGGGTACCTCATCATGGTGTACCGTACCTGAGCCCAGTTGGCGACCCCCTGGTCGGATTGGCGGAATCACCGCCCCGCTAGCCGTACCTGAGTTGCCAGAATTAGGACCAGGAATTGTGGTTCGAATGAAAGATCTGTCGAATCTCAGGGCGATAGTCTCGGGGAACCTTGTAGATCAGCGTCCCTTTTGGTGCTTATTTCTTGTTCTATTGACATGTCTTGGGCCAAGTAGGAAAACTCGGTAGAGGGGGAAGGTAAAGGAGGGCGAGAGCAACGCCGTGCCCAGCCAGCCAATTTGCCAGCCGTTCGGGGCTTTCGAAGCTCCAAGAACCTGGCACAGCAAGATTTGAACTGCATGGAAGGCATCTCATCATGTGAAAATGAGATGATGCGCACAGACGCTTTGGTCGCGACGGCATCTGCTTGATCAACGCGCAGAAGGATGACGGGGGACGCGAAGAAGTGCGTGGCGTGTGGGTTCGTCGAGCTGTAGCCGTTGCACCATTTTGGGAGTTTCGATACCTACTTGCAGACGCCTACCTATCAGAGGAGAGAGGAGGCTCAATCTTGTACATATGTGAGAGTGTGCTCGGATCTTGTGCAATCGTCTCCCTCATCCCGAAGACGTGGCCATCCCGACGAGCCGGTCAGCAGGACCACTGAATGTTTTGCCAAACGCGCCGCAAGGTGTCATCGGGAACATTGCCAACGCTTGAAAAAGAAGTCTGCCGACGCGGGCAACCCGGTCAAACCCTGGCCTCGTTTTCTCGGGGAGCCAGGATGATTCAATGGGCCCGGGAAAGCGTATGGTCAGGTACTCCGTACGGTATGTAGTGAGTGCGTCACCTGGAGGCCAGGCTGGAAAAAGTTGCCCAGCCCGTATTGATCGAGGGCTAGGCAAGGCGAGCGGGAGCCTGTCTGTTGGGCGAAAATCTCTGCAGAACGGTAGACCTGAGTGCAAAATGGACAATTTAAAGCACCATGGCCGGTGAGCCGGGAAGACAGGGTCCTGCCAGGCTGAGGAGGTTCCGGGATGGCTGCAAGTCGTGAGGTTGGTTTTGAAGCAGCCGGCGTCATATATTGTTGGGCTGGGGACGGCTCGTTGGAAAGGGTTTCCGGATCGTGTCAGGTCCTTCTTTTTCTTTTCTTTTTTACCGTGAACCCTCCCGCCTCCACCGAGCCTTGCGTCAGGAGGGAGCTTCGACGCTGTACACTGTATCTGTGACAGAGACTGCCCGGCGGAGCGTCCGATTGTCGAGTCGTCGACTTCTGGCCGTTTCCCCCAAGCAGCGGGGCATCTTTGGGTTTTAAGCTATACGTGTCTCTGTCTTCTTCTTTCTTCCATTGACTCCCACCCTCGACTCGCCCGCGACAAGTTTTTGGGCTGAAATCTGACATACCTGTCGCTCGAAAAGACACACGATAGACATCGCCCTCACGGGGCGCTTCCGGAACCAACGGCGAAAACCAGACGATCATTGAAGGAGAGAAACCAGGGACGAAGAGACAGAGACGAGTGAAACGGTCACCAGGCAGATCGTGATCTCGCACGAGGCCGACGGCGGACTCGCACAACCACCACGCGACACATCGTCACCAAGAAAGCGCGTCGCCTCACCCAGCGGCAGCAGCGTCGTGGTGCCCACCCAGGCAGAAACATATCGTCACGGGCCTCGCTCTACCCGACAGGATCCAAGCAGCAGAGCATAGCGCAGGCACAAGCAGGCAAGCACGTCCGCTCGCACGTCCTCACGCAGTCGAGGAAGAAAGTCTTTTAGTGCTGGGCGGTCCAGGTCCAGGCTACTCACCGTTCCTGCATCAACGCGCGGGCTTCAAAGCTCAAAGCTCACCCACCTCCACAGGGCCGACCCAGAGCCAAGGACCACTGAGGTAGGGAAGGGAAGCTCGCCTTGGGCCTTGGGGAAGGCATCCCCAGCCTCCAGAACAAGAGTCTTCCCAAAATGCCGGGACCGAGACTCAGGGCACACTCACAGGCTAACCCAATCTCGGCGACTCTCCTTTCCCCCCTGAACGCTCGCTCCACAAATCATCACTCGCTGCCCCGTTGCGCCCTCGTCACGCCTGTACGGCCGCCAGTTTTTGCCAATAATTGGCCCTCATCATTCACCAACGCGATCAGGCGCTGCTCCCGTTGGTGCTGCAGCAAGAAGACCCATCCCCGTCCAGGTCCCCATCCTTCCGTTGGGCTTCTTGCCGCTGCAGGGTCGTTGCCGTCGTCGTTGTCAAGCAGAAAAAGCAGCCGCACCACCACCACCGCCGCCGCTACCACCCGAGATACCACCTGCGGCAGCACATTTTGCTCTTCCCTCCAAGGGCGAAGCGCTGTTGTTGGCCGCATAACTCACGATTGCATTGAGACCACCTCCGCCGCCAGCAACACCAATACCTCCTCCACCTGCACCGACCCTACCGCCTCTGCGAAAGCTAATCCTGCCGTCCGAGCCACCATCGTCGCTGTCGTTGCTGCTGTAGTCGCTGCTTCTTCTCTCGCCTGTCTTTTGCATTTCTTTGTCCGAGGCTCCACTCTCCTAGCCGCAAACCTAATCGTTTTGCTGCACGACTCCAACCTGCGCTGTCGCTTTCTCACCAGTCACAGTCCTTCGACGTCCCCTCCATCTCTGTCGCCAGCGCATTTCCAGATTTCCCCGTCACTGCCGTCGCCGTCGCTCCCGTCGAGTAAAGAGGCCCTGGCGATCTCCACGAGCGTGGCCCAGGCGTCGCTGCAAACTCCTCTTCGACCAGACCCGTACTCCACAGTTCCCCGTAAGGCCGTCGACCTCTCGGCGGCCTTCCTCGAACCATCTTTCCCACGGCTTCCCACGCGAGATTCACCTCTCCGTCCCCCGACCCGGCCACCTTAGATGCATCCGCGAACACTCGCCTGCCCACGCTATCGCAGCAGCCTGCCTACCCTGGCGCTTCGCCCGACCTTGACCGTTCAGTAGCCGCTGCCGGCCTGCCTCAGGGCCGCAGCCCATCACTTCTTCGCGGTTACGACCCCAAAGACTATTTCACGCAGTCTCCCTTTCGGAATCGTGCAGCATCCTCCGCCGCCCGTCGCCTACCTCACCTTTCAGCTGCTCGCCTCTGGAACCCAACAAACTCGACCCCGCGACTCCCCGAGAAGACCATTCGCAAACGACGTCCATCGACACCGCCTCCTCCCGCAGTTCCTCTATCACATCCGACCCTCGATCCCTACTCCGTCGATCCCTCTGATCCCTTGGGCATTGGCGCAGGCGATTACCCGCTTTTGACTCTCCCCGAACAACGTCAGACTAGACATTCCACGTCGAATCGCGCAAGCCTTCAGCTCGACAGGAACGCCGAACACCGCATCAGCCTTCCGCCCTCGGTTCGTCATTCATACGACGGAAGAAGATCCGCCGACCCGTCGCCGACATTTCAAGACCCCGACTCTGGCCTGTGTGACGATAAAGGCGACGCGCCTGCAGAACCACCCGTCGAACCTCGAGTTACTGGCCTTCGAAAGCGAGGTCAAAGCGTGTCAAACCCTCTGGTCGTGGACTTCGCCTACGTCGACAAGGGCAAAGGAAAAGCAATCATGGAGCAGACTACCGAGGCACAGGTGCGGGGGACTTCTAAGGACTTGGAGCGTGGACCTGATGTGCTCCCACGCATTTCCAATGTGTCGGCTGGCGATGGAATCGGCTCAGCCATATCCTCATCAAACTCGTCTATCATGGGAGAGGAATTGCCGCCAGATCTCGGCGAGGAATGGGGCCCCCAGCACCCGTGTTTCCCGCATCTAAATCCTCATGTTCCGATCGACTCTCCCGAGTATCACAACACGCGTATCATTCGCATTCGGCGGGACTGGTTGCTGGAAGGAGATTTGGCACCGACGTTCTTAAATCTATACCCCGAAATTCTCGACCCGGCTGGTTTGTCAGAGCAAGAATTCCGCCGTATCATCGACAGGCTGAATGGTGAGCTTGTGCCAATATTCAGCCCATACAACTGGAGAAACATAATGGACAGTGTTCTGGGTTTGGTGACGGGGTGGTTGTGGGATGACTTGGGCTTCACTGGTGTCAAGGCCCGGCTGAAGCGTCTGGAACGATGGGTGGATCAATGGAATAACGAGATGGAGAAGACGGTGGGCAACGAAGACCCCTCAATGGCGCCGCGCATCATTTCGTTGAGGCGGACGGGTTACATGACTGTGAGCCTTCTTTCCCCTGGTGTTTGCGATGTTCTCAAGCTAACGGCCTTCGCAGCTGGATATACAGATTCCCGATCCTGAAATCGCCCCGGCCCCGAGCACACCAGCAGGGTCGGGGAACATGCCCATGGAGCCTCCGGCTGCCGTGACGGCATGATCCCACGCTAGGATGACAGGCTCTCTCGGCCTGGCTTCATCTGATTCGCGTTCTTCATTTCGAATCCGCTATTTTACCGTACGCTCTTTTCTAATATCGGATCGGCGGCGACCTCGGCCGCACCACCGACATGAGTTTATACGACCATAGCCGCGCTCTCACGAGCTCTCGATATCCTTTTTACAGGGATTCTTCTTTCTTCATCCCACCTACCACAGTAGTACCTTATACCAAAGGCATGGCGCGGAGTTTTGGGTCCCCGGGCTGGGGAAATGGTTACGAATGTGATTCGACGACGTTTTTTTCTTCCCCCTTACTTGGTTTCTTGGCTGTTAAGTCTCTTTTTTCCACCTTATCCCTTTTTATTCACCAGAGTGGCAGTCTGCAAACATTTTTTGAACGTGGGGTGATGGAGGAGACGACCAAGCCCGCTTACGAATGGGGCAGATGATGGATGGACGGAGGCAGTGAGCTTGCTCGGACTTCTTCCGACGGACGATGTGAGGTAGAATGATGAGCTGCTTTTAATTTACGTAGATACCTATCGGCTTATTCGGCTTCTTGAACATGGTTTATTCTGGTTCCTTATTCGAGTCTAGCTACTCGTGAAATCTGTGCCATGCGAGAGCAAATGCGTCGTCTGTCTGTCAATACTTGAGCCAATCGCGGTCAAGCCATCACTGCCACCGCCGAGAACTAGTCTTCCCAACATTTCATTACTGCTGATCATCTCCCAGATGTCAAGCAGACCCTCTCGTGTGTCTCGTCAGCCGTGTGGTTCACGGCAGACCCGCCGTTTCAAGCGGGGTACGAGGGATGCACTAAGAAGGTTGGTCAACGGTCATGCTCGTCCTTCTTGACGAGTGTGACGTGCAGAAACAGTTGGCGGTTTCTTGGTGGTGCTCTCAACAGGTGCTGTAAGCTGGACGAACGTGCAACACACGGGATAGTGGCGTTTGCGCATGGTCTTCCACCACATGGAGCCCTCTTTTTCGTTTGAAATCCCTCTGGGTCCCTTCAGCAACTGGGTAAAGTTCGAGAGCATGTGGAAAGTTCGACCCGTAACAACAGGCAAGGAAGACTTATGGAATCATCTCCGGCGCTCCTAACTGTAGGTTTCTGGTTGTTCCAAATGCGCTTGAATCATCGTAATTAACTCCGGCTGAGGAGAAAGTCGGGGTAACCAATCATCTTGAGTTGATTGCTCCGCTTGAAGGTGGTTCACGTCCGACCCCAAGTGTGCGTGCAAACGGGACTTAGCCGCTGGTATCTGTTTGCCTGAGAACCCGTGGACTCCCAATCGGCCGCGGAAAGAGCCAGTGAGGTTATTTGAGGGAGAGTCCCCGTGGTGACAGCCTCCCTCAGGTGTGTCTGAGGAACACCTGGCAGCGGTATAATCTTTTTGCTCGCTAATCACACAGGGCTCGGGTTCTATGACGGTAATTCTCATGTCGTCGGAAGGGTCGTTGACCTCTGTGGTGTATGGTGGAGGTGGCGAGGATAACGAGCCTTGTCCCTTTGAAACCTGGCTAATATGAACAGATCGACCGAAACTATACTTTGGAGACTTGGCGAGCACTGACCTGATAAGTTTTGGTCAGCAACGTGATAAATCTGTTCGGGGCGATTAGCCCTCACATTGAGACTGTCCCCCAGGAGCCTGATGGAGTTGGACCTGTGCTTGATGTGGCGTCGTCACGTAGTCTCGGGAACACTTTATCGAGACGCATGGTCAATAAACAGTGACGATATGTATCCATTGAGTCTTTGCTCATACCGAAGAAGACGAAGATTGCTGCTGTCGTGATGATTGGTAGGTAGTTGGAGTTGAGTTCGAAGAAGGTTAGTTGGTCGTATGGGTATAGGATTACCGAATCCCATGGCCAGGCGCCGTCACCATAGTGAATTTCCTTGAAGTCGAATGCTTGTAAAGGGAAGTAGATTTTGATCTGGTAGACCGCATAGGCGCAGGAAATTGGGACGTAAGGAACAAGAATGCAAGTTGTCATCAAGAACAACCTACGCCGTGTTCGATTCGATCTCGCAGCGGTTGAGGAGTTTGAGACGAGAGCAGAACGAGTTGTGCTCTCGATCTGCTTAAATCGTCTCCAGGTGAGGACTGCGCAAGGGGTTAGCAGACAGGTCTGTCATGTTTCGAGTTGACTGGCCTGAGTAGAATCCTGCCATTAGAGTCACAACTGGGATTGGCAGTAGGAAGAAGACGATACATGGCCAATTTGGTGTTGTACTCCATAAACACCCCTTGAGTGTGCCAATGATGTATCTCTGTCCTGCCAGAGGATATAGCCAGCCGACTTGAATGACGGGGAGCGGAAATATTATCAAAGCCTGGAACCACATCCTCTTCCTTTTCTCGATGGTAGTGAGCGGACCGGCGCGGTCTAGGTTGACTTGCTCTGCGAGATTTCGCATGATGGCGGCGATAGATGTGGCGTAGATGGTCAACGCAGGTTGGTAGAGGTAAGGGTGAATATCGCACCAGATCCAGCCTCTCCACCATTCTTGGATGTTGTCGTCGCGCCAGATGAGAGAGTTGACGACTGTAAGAATGTTAAGAAGCATGACTGTGGAAACGAACACAACCGCCGCAAACTCGCCGTTCCGACACAGGTTTCTCAGTGGAATCAGACAAACCAGGTTGGCCAGGCATGCGGAAACCACTCGGCAGATCAGGTTGGCTTTCATAGAAGGTGTCGTATAAGGTGCTGTTGGCAAAAGAGGAATTACTTCGAGGCTGCGGGCCATCAGGCTTTCTGAAATGGGTGCCATGTTCATGGAAACGAGAGACCGAATGATCATGGAAAACGAAGATAGAATACTTCCTGGCTTTATGCCCTTACCAAATGGTGCGACCAGCGCACAACGAATCGCCGGATGGTTAGTGGATTAGAGCCATGTGCTAGCGGGAAGGGAACGCAAGAGGCGGGAAGTGTAACTGGAGGAAGTATCCTTCGCAAGCCGAAGTTTTCTGGAGGGGGAAGGAGGAACGAGGCCAGATTGACGTAGTAGTAGTAGTCGTTGTGGCTAGCAGTGGCAGATGAACGCAGTCGCGAAAGGAAGGACAGCAGGGCGATGTATGTCCTGCCGGTAAGGTACAAAGTATCTCGCCCCTTCTTCAAGGCGGCTACGGAGGAAGCCTCTGATGATACGAAGCCTTGGCGAGAAAGGAGAGGGGCCCTCAAAACCTAAGAGAGGAAGGGGCACTCTCGGACGCAACTGCAGAGGTCCTGCTTCAAACTGCGTAGAAACACATCCCAGGCAACCCGCGGGCCGCATTAACCTGAAGACGTATCATATCTTACCACGAAAGAACAATGGTGCAGACCTTGGTTAAAGTCTAAGGCTGATGGACGTGGCGGTTACGAATCTCCGTCCCAGGCTCACAAACTTGACCTGTCGAGGATCAGATGTGACTGACCAGCTGATCATGTCGCATTTGCGAGCGAAACACAACTCTGCCTCCCCTCCCAAAAAAAATTTTTTTTTTTAAAATTTTTTTACGATGATTCATTCACTCAGAAGATGGTTCCCCCTGTTAGTGAGCTGTTGGGCTTTACATCACCCAGGCCATTGTCATGTTCTGAGGTCTGATGTGCCTGCGTTAAAAAGATGCCCCCTGCTGGTTCATGAGAAGTCGCCAGCTTACTGTTTAGATGCATAACACCCGATAGCAGCACTACCGAAGCGACGCATGAACCTCATTCCCAGATGCACGGGCCACGTCAATGCTGGCCCTATCTGGGGAAGTTAGTGATCGCGTCCAGTCGCGTTTGGCGCGAGTTCAGCTCACCGCAAACCTCTCGCCGACTCGTGTTCACCATCGTCTTGCTTCATACACTCCTTTGAAACCCCAAACACCACAAAAATCGCCCTTCCAAGCCGTCAACATGTCCGCCACGCTTTTCCGCCGCGCTGCCGTTGCCCCGCGCATTGTCGCCCGTGCCTTCAGCACCTCCCCCACCCACAACGTTGCCCGCATCTCCATTATCGGTAACCTCGCAGATACCCCCGAGCTCCACGCCACCAGCACTGGCCGCGAGATCGTCAAATACGCAGTCGCCAGCAACAGCGGTTCCCGCGAGAACCGCCACACCAGCTGGTTCCGTGTCACCAGCTTCGCTCCTGAGGGACCCGGCCGTGACTTCCTCCAGAGCCTGCCCAAGGGGTACGATATAGCGACACCACGTTCGCTTTGCGAGAATTTCTGACGGCTGACATTTAATGACTCCTTAGAACTATGGTTTTCGTCGAGGGCGATGCCTCCATGAGCACCTACCAAGATGCCGAGGGCAAGACCCGCAGCTCTCTCAACGTTGTCCAGCGTATGTTCCGATCGATCGCTTCACACAAAGTGAAATATTTGAGCCTTCTAACTCTCCCTCAGGCAACATTGAGGTCCTTAGACGCCCTGCCACCGGCACTCCCGCCAGCGAGTAAATACGTCCTTCAATGCTATGAACCGAGTTCTTTATGTTGAATGACGACTACGAGAGCCCACCATCCGATGTTGACTTGAAAATGGCCCTTCTCCACTCTGTGCCGGGATTTCTTTTGTGTGATGACTTCAAATCGGGCCTGATGAGGCACGTTGTACAAAACTTTCTGGGGACGATAATTGATACCACGGGTTATGCTCTCTAACGCTATATGTATCCTCGATGACACGCAAAGCTCGATACCGGCCCCGGTTTAAGCCCGCGGCAGGCGGCCCGAGGAGTCCGATGGCTTCGTCTGCTCCAAGAGGCATCAAACAAGAGTACAACTGTCCATGCACCCGAAGCCAGCCGCGACTCCGCCCTCATTGCTCGTGTCGCCCTTGGTGCGGAGCAAGTAGCCGGCCTCCTCGTTGTGCACTATCTCTCCCGTGCCCTGGTTCCATACCGCCGTCCCGTAGATGCCCAGTTCGCAGATAACACCACCCTCCTCAAGGTTACCGTTGCGGAGAATGATATTGTCCTGCTTAGGTGGGGTGATCAGCTCCATCAGGATATATGACCCCCAATGAGACTCGGGGGTCTTCTTTAAGAATTCGGGAATGTCCTCGCGGTAGTGGTTGTTTCCACCGCCTTCCCTCTGGGGTTTCAGGACGTAGTTCTTGCACAGTTCGGGATCCTGGGCGATCTTGCGCGCCTTGAGACCAGCCTCGGAATCGTCCATGGGGAAGATGTTGGTGAAGGTCTGCCACACCTCTGCGGTCTGAGGGGAGTCATCGGCAATGAAGCGACCCAAAACTGAAGGAGACGATCCAGATCTCGGCGTTGCTAGAACTTGTTGAATCTTCTTGCTGCCTGCCAACTGGGTCAAGACAGTAGGACACTTGATTGCGGATGACCTCTCCAGGTGATAGCGAGCCTCCCATGTGCTCTCGTCGGGATAGTCCGACGGATCATACCAGCATCGAAGGTATGAAACAGCGACCTCAAAGACCTTTGAGGGATCTCTAGGCACTTTGTAAAGCAGCTGACGCTTGGGCGTGTTTGCGATTTCGGTATGCTTGAGTAGCTCTGAGAAAGGAATGCGAAACACCTGGACCGGGTTAGGAGAGCTGATGAGTGCATACTCGAGATGCCGCTGGTCGAAAATGTTGCGCTCGCCACCTTGTACAACAAAGATTACACACTTCGTGTAGCCGAGTTCCGAGGGGCCGTACTGGTCGAAGGCAGCGCGGATGCCGCCTGCAAGACCCTGGGCACTCTGGTTCTCTGGCAAATCCAGAGAGCCTGACTCAATAGAGCGGTTCAGCAGGGGGTACTCAGAGACAGAGAGAAACCTGCTGGTATTAGCAACGCGCTCTCCCGAACAGATGAGACAGACTCACTTGTGGAGGAGCGAAGTACGAGACGAGAGACCGCCGAAGGACGCAGCTATCGTGTTGAACTCAACTTGCTTCACCTGGCGCTTGGGTTGACCTGATGAGACATCCTGGTGAACAAGGTAATCGGACCTGAATAACCCGAGTGAAAGGTTCTTGACCCAAATTAGCTCAGCGTCAACGTACAACAGCATCCAAGCGGACGAACCTGGGTGTAGCCCTCCTTCTTCACTCTCAAATGAGTATCCCAAAGTTTGCCGATGAAGTCGTCGCCGCTCTTTACCCTGTTTGAAGTCAGACATAATCCAGTGGCTTCAGCGTGTATCATTACGACTCTCCCACACAGAGCGTTGCAGGAACTCACTCATTGACCATCTCGCTCAGAAACTCTTCGTCCCTACTGATGGCGGCATACAGCTCGTTGTAGGTCTTCTGAACTGACCGCGCTTGTGCAAAGCACTGCTTGGGGAATGGGCTGGGGAAAAGCGTGACTGGCACGTTGACTGCCAGGATTCCCTTCGGGTCTACATCCGCTGAAACAACGGCGGGAGGTGGTCGAACAGACAAGCCGTTGCCAATCGCCCAATCCTTGATGGTATGCACGAGCGCATCCTGCTCTGGCTGAGAAAGCCGAGGGGGGTATTGCTCCGTAGTAAGTGTTGCAGATGCCATCTTTCAGCTTCAGCGCCCACAAAGCGGTTGGAAGTGCAGAAGGAAGAAAGACCACTGAAATCCCGATGCCTGTTGTTTGAGAATCAGAGGTAGGAAGTATAAGGCCCGGAAGGTGTCCTCTCTATCTCAGCATTAGTAATTGAAGTGCGCTCAAAATTATGTAGGTGGTAGACGTGCTGAGAAATCACTCGTACGAGTAGCGTTGTATGATCTTCAATCCCAAAGCTTAGCGTGGTGTTGCGTAGGCTACACAGCACGCGTGGAGTCTCTCAGATGGCGAGCAGATTAAGTCTGGACGATGACGATGCTACGAGACGTTGGCCCTGGGCATTTAGCAATTGAGAGGATGAGGGGACATCACAATTGAAGGAGGGGGAGGCTCTGATGGCCCCACTGCGAAGCCCCGCGACTAGGTTTCCCAGCTGAAGAGTAACTGTCCTGCACGCAGGATGCAGCGAAGACGTGCCCGAGCTAACTACCTTAGGTACGGCAGTGTGAGGCAAGGCAGACGGCTAGGAGGGAGAATCGAAAATTTAGCCAGGCCAAGCGCCGAGGTATCTTAAGGAAAGACATCACGTCGCAGACAAATCATTTACATGACATAAGAGGCTCTTTCATCTTGGCGTTGAGAAAGATCAACGGGGAATTCATGTCAAAAAGCAGCAGGCTCAAGCTGCAATGCGCTGGTCTTACTTACCCCTCCACCCCACTATCTGTTTCTTCTTATCTGTACCTTATCAATTATCTTAACACCGAAGCCCATCACGTGTCAATAGTGGATTCTCAAAATTAGGTAGAGATGATTAAAGCCTTCCATTGATGGTACTGCGCCGCTGCCCGCACTAGTGGCAGTGTATACCTACCAAGTACTTACCTAGGGACCCAGGCCCCTTATCGACTATGCCAGCGGACCTACCCTGCTGTTACAGTTATCCCCGTCACATCTGTAGAGGCGCTAGAGGGGATGTGGGTCGAGAACGACTTCCTCCGCGACTTCTACACCAGCACGCGTCGTGAATTGAGAAGTCATTGCACCTGCTGTCTACCCAGTCAGTTGATTTCTATCCTTCCTGCGCATTCAAAAGCAGACTTCCCACACGCCTGGACTCGTAGTCGATCTTTCTCAACGTCACCCCCGTTTTTTAACTGTCCGTCCCTCGCGTGTCGACGAGGACAGTCCTCGGCTTTCAGCCACCGCTCACCACCCGTTTGCCTCGCCCGGGGTTTTATTCCTTTGTCTTTTTCTACTTTCCGGGGACCTTCCAGAAAATTCCTTGCCTTCACCTCGAGCTCGGAAGAAGTCCTTCGACTAGCGTCTCTACCTCATGCGGAGATGATTACATCGCTGTATACGACGTCTCTCTATCTCACGACACCTACGCCGATCAACACTGCGGCTGACAGCTGCCAGATTCGTCGTAAGTCACACCTCAAAATTTACACATTCTGTTCTCGTGGCTACGCGGCCCCGCCTGCGTTATTCTGGCGATATCCCTTCAGAGCATTTTCAAGAGATCTTCTCTTCAGACTTGTTTGGAAAGAACACAGCTCATCTTTCTTGCTGCCCAAAAAGGTAGTGCCCAAGCACTCCTGGCGGGGGCCAGACTCAACGCACCACTCATTCCACCTCACATCTTCTGTTCTAGAGACCGAAGACGACTACTAACGCTGCAACAGCATCGCGCCTGATGGCATGAAAAGTCAAAATGGCAGGCACCGATGGCGATCCCTTCGACTGGGATGTCGACAAGGTGGTACATGAGCTTTGCATCGCCGACAAGCGCCCCTGGCTGCCCAGACAGGCTAGCAAAAGACCCGATCCCCAAACTCTTTCCAACGCCCTGAGAGAGAACGAGATCGATGGAGAGACCCTGCTGACATACGAAGATGTCATGTCATCCACGAAAGGCCTCCTTGAGACCCTGGGTCTCACCAAACCAGCACACCAGATGACTCTGGTTAAGGCCATTACTTATCTCAAGTCCAAGAGCGCCGGTTACCGACAGCACAAAATTGATTCAGCGAGTCAAGAGCTCGAGTCTCAGAATAGCTCTCAGGAAGCGCCCGTCGACGATATCCAACAAACTCCTCTACAGCAAGAGTCTAGCCCACCACAGTCCTCCAGTGATCTACCTCGTCGTGAAGAATCCATCGCAGAGCAGCTCGTCGGTTTGGCAAATACGAAGGCGAACGGCGATCTCGAGGAACCGCCTCAGAAAAGGCGGAGACTAGCGCCTGTCTTGATCTCCACGGATGTCGCTGGGCTTGGCGACGCAAACTTTCCCCACGCGGCGACAGGCGTTACACGACATTTTCCTCGCAGTTACTCGAAACCGGATTGGTTGGATACCACATCCAACGCCTACTTTGGCACTCAGGCTTTGATTACCGCTGACCTGGTCCCCAAGTCGAACTTCGTCGTCAGCGAAGACAGCACGCTCGCACAGAGTGAGATCAAAGGCTTGGCTCCGGCGGGAGAGCATGTCCTCGACCTAGCTACTCGTGGCAAGGTACCTGCGGGAAAACGTCGTCAGATACACCGGGCTATGTCACGACTGTTTCGTAAAAATAACGAATCTCTGAACAGTCTCAACAGTGGCTTTCACCCCCAAGTTGAGCCCTCGGACGAAGGAGATGAGATTCTGCCAGCTTTCGGCGAGTCAGACGACGAGGAATACGATTCCGACACCATGAGAGAAATGGAAGAAGAGGCGGAGGAAATCAGACAAGAGAAAGCCCGGAAATCCCACTTGCTTTCTGGCGACGATGTCGACCGCGTGATGCAGGAAGAAATACTGCGCATGGAAGAATCCTGGGAGGAGAGAAAGCTTCCCCTGAAGCAAAGACATGCGAAGGCGCTATGGAACCGAGCACGCCGGCAAGGTCTCAAGCGGGCTATGGCACAGGCCCACGCACGACTGGCGGGGTTCACCAACCGGATTGAGAAGCTCTGCCTCGAGATGCGACGGAATGAGTGGCACGACGAGGATGAGCTGAAGAAGCAGATGCGCTGTCTCGAGGCCAGCGTTGAAGATCGGAAGAAAGATAGATGGTTCCTCGACGTTTTGCAGGGCCCCGAGCCTCCTGGACCAGAGTCATTGCCAAGGTTCCTGTTACCGACTGCTCAACGCGAGGTTCTGTCCGATGAGGACGGTGAGGTCATCACAAGCGACGACGACGATGGCTTCGTCATCGACGATATGAGAGGCATTGCGTTCACTTCCGAGCCGGTTGAGACTCGGCCTGGTACCCCCATGGACCTAGACAACCCAGAACAGACGGTAGAGATTGATCAAAGTCCCTCTGCGCTGCCACAAGAATCGATGGCCAAGACCTCTGTAGATCCCGGAGGTCATCAGGTTATCGATCTGACATTTTCCGAATCTGAAGCAGCAGCACCGCAAAAAGTTCACATCAGCCTGATTACTCCAACCAAGCCGAGGGATGTCCGTCCGAGCACGGAGATGGATGTCGATGAGCCGCAAACCTACCCTGACGAGGATCTTGAAATTCCGATCGATCGACCAGCGGAAATTGCAGCTATTCCACCGGAAGTCTGGAAGGATCATAAAGACCGTGAACGACTCTTGATCTGCGTCTTATGGAGAGTCCAGAGGAAGAAGTTGCAGAAGGACGTATTCTCAATCTTCCTCAGACTGACCTCTAGCTCAGTTTGGGAAGATATCATTTTACCGGCATTGTCAGACGACGAGGGCCGAGAGTTCTTTGGTGAAGTGTGCAACTTGGCAGCGCGACTATTCAGAGTTTTCGCCCTCTGCAGAGTTCAAACTTCTGGGTCTAGCATTACGAGAAGGATCACTGGCACCAAGGCGAAGAAACTTCGGGCGCAAGCGGCGCTTTTCGAGCTCTTTTATAACTTTATGAGAGAGATTGAACCTTACTTCGTTGATCAAAACGAGACAGATGCCGACTTAGAGGACTCGGAAAGACCTTCAGGTGACGACATTGAAGACTCTTCGTCTAAGAGACGAATGAAACCCGTTGTACTCGATCAAACTGCAAAAGATCTTCGAGAGACCGACCAGCAACGTTTGCAAGAGCAGGAGAAGCGACGGATCGAGCTACGTAAGAAGCTGGCCGCGTCCGCCATTATTCCCAGCGACAAATCGCGGTTGATCATCAACGAATCCAAACAGGATGATCAAGGCTTGATCTACATAAACGAAGACATAGGCCGGCGAATCAAAGAGCATCAGATTCAGGGCGTTCGCTTCATGTGGAACCAGATTATCTGTGATCCCAAAGTACGACAGGGATGTCTCCTGGCTCACACCATGGGCCTCGGCAAGACTATGCAAGTCATTACTCTGCTTGTCGCAATCGCCGAGTCAGCACAGTCTCCCGATGAATCCATCAACTCCCAGATACCGAATGACCTGAGACAATCGAAGACCTTGGTGCTGTGCCCGTCCCTATTGGTCGATAATTGGTTGGATGAGATGCTGATGTGGGCTCCCGAAGGCCTCCTCGGGCCCTATTTCAAACTCGAATCTGCTACCAAACAGAACGAACGGATGCCCATCATTCGTCGATGGGACGAGGAGGGTGGCGTCATGATCATTGGGTATGACATGTTCAAGCGGTTGGTTGACGAACCTGGTGAAGAGCTGCCGAAGGAAAATGATGGCAAAACGGCCTGGGATATTCTGACGCAAAGCCCGAACCTGGTCGTAGCCGATGAGGCTCATAAGTTGAAGAATCCAGACTCCAAGATTGGCTTGGCTGCTTCACAGTTCAGGACTCAGAGCCGGATTGCGCTTACCGGCTCTCCCCTTGCGAACAGCGTCGAGGAATACTACTACATGATTGACTGGGTAGCACCTCGATACCTTGGGCCTCCTTCCGAATTCCGAGATCTTTACACCAGGACAATTCAGGAAGGCCTCTACGAAGACAGTACCCGCAGCCAATTCCGCATGGCCAAGAAGCAGCTTGCTGTCCTGGAGAAGACAGTGGCCCCAAAGGCACATCGAGCTACCATCAAAAGCCTGTCGAAGAATGACCTTCCGCAGAAGACAGAGTTCATCCTGACTGTCCCGGTCACGGACTTACAAGCTCGGCTTTACGACGCATACCTTCAGTCTGCGAGGGGCGACGCGGACCAACAGGTTTCGTCAAGGATCCTAGGAATTGTCAGTAATCTAGGCCTTATCGTCAACCATCCTAGATGTTGGCAAAACAAGCTTGCACAGGAACGCCGTCTAGACACTAGCAAAAACCCAAGCAACCGCTCAGCTAACCTAGCGTTATCTCCGGCGGTGGTCAGTAGCGGACTCAAGATGATGAACCGTCCGAAACTCGACATTCAATCTGCGGTTTTGTCATGGAAAACGCGTCTCCTCGTCGCCATTCTTGCCGAAAGCGAAAAGATGAAGGACAAGGTTCTTGTTTTCACATCATCAATTCCGACAATGGACTACTTGGAGAACCTTCTGCGCCAACAAAAGCGCAAGGTGGCGCGTTTGGATGGGTCTACACCAATCAACTTGAGGCAGCAACATATCAAAAACTTCAATTCTGGCGACACTCAAGTTTACCTCATCTCAACAACCGCCGGAGGAATTGGACTGAACATCTATGGGGCAAATCGCGTTGTCCTCTTCGACTTCAAGTACAACCCTGTCAACGAACAGCAGGCAGTCGGCCGAGCTTACCGGATCGGCCAGCAGAAGCCTGTTTTCGTCTACAAGCTTCTGTCTGGAGGCACATTTGAGTCTGCAATGCAGAACAGATCCGTTTTCAAAACCCAGCTAGCTTCTCGCGTTGTGGATAAGGAGAATCCAAAGCGGTGGTCGAAGAAGGACAATGAATATCTAAAGGACCGCGAAACACCGCCGCATCAGGACTTGACTCATCACATGGGCAAGGACAGCGTCCTGGATAGTTTGCTGAGCAACCCGGAACTCTCACAGGGTATCTGTGACATTGAGACTACGGATACCTTTGAGGAGCATGATCCGGACGATGTTCTAACAGCTGAGGACAGGAAAGACGTGGAAGACCAAGTTCGTATGCATTCTCTTCGCATTACTGACCCTGAGGAGTACAGGAGACTGGAACAGGAGAGACTGAGCCGCGCAATGCCATCTGTGGTCGGTCAAGCCATACCTCAGACTTCGATTCCCCATGCAGGGCTGCCTCGAGGCACCGTTACCGCTGCTCCATTGGGAAGCCAAACCCCGATCAATGCACCAAGCGTCCCGCAAGTTCTCGTGAGCCACCAACAGAGCCCAGCAACCCCTGGAGGGCCAACTACAGGTATTAGTCACGCAGCTGAGCAGAAGCTACCGTCTGACCCGGCTGTTCCTGGATCTGCAAATACGCCAACTTCATCGGTACAACCAGTTCTGAATTCGGGAACGCCCCACCAAACTCCCGATGTATGTCCCTCGCAAGACTTGTTTTAACCTTATGAACATGGCTAACGATGTGCAGTCACGAGGTGCTCCACCGATGCCCATAGCTGGTGCTAACACTCACTTCGGAACTCATCCTGAGAACATCGCGGTGCTGGACGGACAAAATGCATCTGCTGCCGCTATAGAGAGTCCCAAGCCGCAGGCCAAGAAGGCGCCTAAGAAACGCCCATCTTTGATCAACTGGCCTTACCAATTCGAGCAAAAGATCATGGAGGCGTCCCAGAAGGTTAAAGATACCGAATTGCTCGTCCGAATCACAGAAAACCCCAAGGATATTGCAAAACGAGTCGCACACTCTACGTGGAAAATCAGGGAGGACAAGAATTTTGGCGAGTGGCCCAACCAATCTCACATGAAGGCACTCTGCCGCCTCATGGAGAGTCCGAGGTTCGCAGCGGCAATCCTCACGGGACACTTTACTCCAGCTGAGCTGGCCCTCGCGCCGTCCGTCGAGGCACTGGAAGATATGGAAAAGGCGTTGGCGCAGCTCGGAGACCGGGAGTTTTGCGAACGGTTGAAATTGGGTACCGACCAGCCCGAGGAGCACAACGTATGACCCCGCCATGCTCAGTTATCCTTGATTTATACGCCTCTCTGCAGCTACTTCCTCGAATTTCACCTAGTCACGGCTAATCCCTTGATCAACAGCAGTTCCCGAACGCAGACGGTCGAACGAGTACGTATGCTACGGCGGCGAATATACGGGGCCCAGCGAATTTCGTGATGGACGATATGCAGGTTTTGAGGGACGTGGAAGGTCGCAGGCAGCATCGAACACCCAGACTTCCAACATGGGCTAGCAAGGCTGTCGAGGAAGCCAGTTTCGGGGAGCAACGACCACGGCCGCGGAATCCTTTTCAGTTATCACCGTCGCCTGAGGGCTAACGGGAGATATCATGTCTGTTTTAGCTGTTTGGTATTTTTTCTTGGAGGGAGTTTTCCACATCGCATTGAGGAACGGAGGATATTGGAGTTGCATGACATTCACGATACCCTTTGCTAGAGGCCTAGAGGAGGGATGTCAGGCATCCGGAGAAAAAGTCTGAAGGGAGGTGGCCTGAGGTTTGCATTAGTATCGGCGTCAGGGCCATAAAGACCCAGAGAGATGAATCAAGACGATGTGAGATCTCAGAAAGGCCCGAAATCCCAAGCTAAGCTAGTCCCTGAGAGTTGTTTTGCACCATACATTGCACGTGACTAATGAGGCTTTGCGTGGTGTATCGTTTGTAAAGTTGACATGCTGCGAGCGTGGGCTTTTGGGCAAGATTCTTCAAGACATATTACCTCGACGGGCATGGGAGCTGGAGGGGCAACGGGGATGGTTTCGGGGAATGCAGCGTCACAGTGACTCCTCTAGGCCCCATCACGAAAATTACACGTTGATGCCGGGCCGGAGGTTGGTCATTTTGAGGCATCCTGGACGGAGTATATAGGCCAGCTCGGGAAGCGCCGTAACCGGCGTCTTTCGTACGATGTTTGGGGGTCCACCCGAGGCTGATTTCAGGAGGTCGAAAACGAGCAAAGTGGATGCTTTGAACATATGTGATTGGATAGTTCTCGAATCTAAGTCGTCTACGGCGAGGGAGCAGACACCGGGGAGGGGGGCAAGAAGAGAGCAAAAAAAAAAAAAAAAAAAAAAAAAAAAAAAAAAAGGGGGGAAAANAAAAAAAAAAAAAAAAAAAAAAAAAAAAAAAAAAAAAAAAGTACATGGTGAGCAAGAAAAACGTGCAGGTAAAAGTGATCTGAGGTCTGGTCCCTTTGAACAGGGGTTGGCTGGGGGCTCGGTACCGTCCAACGAGATGGCGGGCAGTTCCCCAGAAATTGGCTTTAGATAAATTTTGATTGGCTCAATGGCAGATTTTTCTGGACCCTGCAGAAGCCGAGACACCGAAAATCGAATGCGCGCAAGTGCTAGGCTGGGCCACTCGCCCATGGGTGTCCCCCGTGCAGCGGCACTAGCAGCGCTCTGCAGACTGCAGCCCAGCCCACTAAAAGGGCACCTAGGCTGATGGCAACCCACAATCGGAGCGTCCCTCAGTGGCCGCAGAGGCCGGTGGCTGCCACGGCTGCCCCGCCGTCGTTGGCCCCAGACGTGTGCAACACAACGCCAGTCAGCCAGTCAGCCAGTCAGCTCGTCCGAGGGCCAGCGTCAGCGTCCTCCCGTCCAATGTGCGTGTCCGCTGTCCTGGCCTGTCCTCGGGTTCGTGGTGCGGTACCTACGGCACCGTACCTTACCTCCTGAGGTGGGTGGTACCTTACCCTGCGCCCACCGCCGCCTTTTTGTGTCATGGCGACTCTTCACCGGACGCACTAATAAAGGACGGTCCGAGAATCTGGTCTCTTTTATTCCTCGCTTCTCCTCATCCGCCAATTCCTCCCTTCTCCTCCTTTCCTACCAAATCCCGTCTTTGTCGATCAAAGTCGCCCCTTCAACCCTTCGCCAATTGACTTGTGTTCGGCTGCGCGCTGACACTTTTCTCTGGCAACTCTGACCCCGTTCGCCAACGCCGCACCTGATCGCCACACCGAAACAACCGTACCAAAATCTACTCCGTACCGCTATCCTCGACCGACGGACGTTACACGAAGTTCCTCTTCAACTTGCCAATCGTCACTATGGAGGCTGCTCTGCGTCAATCCAAGGCCATGTGCCCCTTCTTGAAGAAGGCCTCGCCCGCTAAGCTTCGCGCGCTGTCTACCTCGGCTCGTCCCCATGCCGTCCAGGCCCCTCAGACGGCCGTCGCCGTTTCCCCTTGCGGCGGCACCATGTCCAAGTTGCAGCTCCTCGCCCACCGCTGCCCCGTCATGGGCAAAGCTCTGACTGTTCAGTCGGCTCAGTATGGCCATGCTGCCAAGACTGCGAACTCGTCTGTCGCCGGCATTCGCGCTTTAAGCACCAACTCAAAGTCCGGTCGTGCCAGCATCCATACCAGCCGCAGCAACGATGCCCGCGCCGTGGACACTCCTTTCGCTAACGGACATGACAAGAGTATGTGATATGTTCCCAAAAAATCAACAGCAACAAGCTAACATGTTCCAGCCCGGCTTCCCCCGAACATGGCTACTCGCCACAACTCTGCGAACAACGTTGGCATGGGTAATTCGGATGCCTCGAAGGCCAAGTTTAATTACGAGGCCTATTACACGTCCGAACTGGAGAAAAAGCATAAGGACAAGTCATACCGCTACTTCAACAACATCAACCGTCTGGCCAAGGAATTCCCCCGTGCCCATATGGCCGACAAGGAGGAGCGTGTGACTGTGTGGTGCGCCAATGACTATCTCGGAATGGGTCGTAACCCCCACGTCTTGAAATCAATGCACGAGACCTTGGACGAGTACGGCGCCGGTGCTGGCGGCACGAGGAACATTTCGGGTCACAACAAGCACGCCGTCGACCTTGAGGGCACCATCGCGAAACTGCACGCAAAGGACGCAGCTCTCGTCTTCAGCTCATGCTATGTTGCCAACGACGCCACTTTGGCCACCCTGGGCAGCAAAATGCCTGATTGTGTCATTCTATCCGACAGCTTAAACCATGCCTCCATGATCCAAGGTATTCGTCACTCCGGAACCAAGAAGATCGTCTTCAAGCACAACGATGTGGCGGATCTCGAGGCGAAGCTGGCTTCTCTCCCCTTGCATGTTCCCAAGATCATTGCATTCGAGTCGGTCTACAGCATGTGCGGCTCGATCGGCCCCATTGAGGCCATTTGCGACTTGGCGGACAAGTACGGCGCCATTACGTTCCTCGACGAAGTCCACGCCGTCGGCATGTACGGACCTAATGGTGCAGGTGTCGCGGAGCACCTTGACTTTGAAGCACACCAGCAAGGACGCCCCAAGGGCAGTATCATGGATCGCATCGATATTATCACCGGCACTCTTGGCAAGGCTTATGGATGCGTTGGCGGATACATTGCCGGCAGCGCCAAGCTCGTCGACATGATCCGCTCCCTTGCTCCTGGATTCATCTTCACCACCTCCCTTCCCCCTGCGACAATGGCTGGTGCAAAGACCGCCATTGAGTACCAGATGGATTATGACGGTGACCGTCGTCTCCAGCAGCTTCACACCCGCGCGGTGAAGGAAGCCCTCGGCGACCGCGATATTCCCGTCATCCCCAACCCATCCCACATCATCCCGATCTTGGTTGGCAACGCCGAGCTTGCCAAGCAGGCATCGGACATGTTGCTCCAGGACTACCAGATCTACGTGCAGTCCATCAACTACCCCACCGTTCCGGTCGGCCAGGAGAGACTGCGTGTGACGCCCACTCCGGGCCACAAGAAGGAGTACCGCGACCAGCTTGTGCAGGCCATTGATGAGATCTGGACCAAGCTTGGCATTAAGCGCACCTCTACTTGGGCTGCTGAAGGTGGCTTCATCGGTGTTGGGGAGGCCAATGCGGCCCCCGAGCAGCCCCTGTGGACCGACAACCAGCTTGGCATCGAGCAAGCTGCGAAGGAGATTAAGGCTGCGGGCAACATCAACAGCGGCTTTGTCGAGGCCCTGTTGGAGCGTGAGGCCAAGACGGCTGGTCAGGCCGTGAGCTCTACTATCTGATTCCGTTCTCTGATTGGGATTTTGCCCAATGTGTTCAACGTTGATATCTACGGTGAGCTCAGCGGACCTTGACCACGTTCTTTGGAGCGATCAACGAGTTTTTGATATTTTACCACGCCCCGTGACTGATTTCTCTTTCGATTTGAGATTCTTGTCTACCAATCACTGGTGACTAATCTCAGTGTTGGTCGCAACACCAATAGTTTACAACCAATATATGAAATGTCACATATTGACATCTTTCATCAAATCAACTCTCAGTGCGCTTCAGTGACATGCCCGTCCACGTATCCGTATCGATAGACTTCATCCGAAAGCGAGCTGCATCACAGCCCACTGACTCAAGCCACGATGAACCCGGCAACGGCAATTGTTGAAATCCGTTCAGCTGAGAATACGTACCGTGCTGAGTGTGACGGGCCAAGAAACGGACTTTGGATATTGCTTAGTCATCACGGGCTCTCTCTCCGCCGGAGTGCTCGCAACTCCGTCTCCAGCGGAGAGACGGAGCAAAATCGTGAGGACAAGGCCCCCGGAATCCACCCCATTGGCCAGAGCTGCCCAGCCATGACTTACACGATTTCAGGAGAGCCGTAAAGAAGGCTCAACCTAATGAAGGCTTACGACGCGAGTTTGTCCCTGTAAAGGAGCAGTGTTTCGTATCTGCTTTGCCTGCTTTCCTTTCTCAACTCACCTAAATCAAGGCTGGCTACCGTTGAAGTTGCGAATGTCACCATGGAGATGCAAATGGACGCTGAATCAAAGACCAAGGGCCCTCGAGCCTGCACTACATGTGCCAAGGCCAAATCACGGTGTATACCAGGACCGGACGGGAGCAACAAGTGCGAAAGGTAGGTTCCCCGAACCTGGTTCCATCTCCGGGACGGCTTTTGACATTCTCATCAGGTGCCATCGGCTTAGGAAGCCCTGCGGTTCCCAGACCCCTGCGCCCCCTAGGGCGAAGAAAGACCCTAAACCAACCAAGGTTGCGGAACTGGAGAAGAGACTCAACGACTTAACCACGCAGTTGGGTACTGCTCAGGGCGGGACTCCCGCAGTATCCGCCGGAGCCATCACTGCAGGAGAGACCGGGACCGGGAACGGGAACGGAAGCGGGAGCGGGAGCGGGGGCGCAGGCATTGATACCAACGCTAGTCCTCTGCCCATCACCAACAGCAGCAAGCCGGTATCTGCCCGGATTCCTATCAACTGTGACCACCTTTTCCCGCCAGAAGACGCGCCAGCAGATGGTGGCTCTGACACTTCACCGGCCCCGAGCGCCTCGACTCTCGATGAACACCACTCCGGGAGCAGTCATGGCCAGCCGGAGCGGGTTGAGCCCCCTTGGCCGCTTAACAACGAATTGAACATCATGCTACAGACTTTCCGAGATGACTTTCAGCCTTTGTATCCGTTTGTCATCGTGCCGCCTCATATGAGCCCGGCGCAGCTTGCGGCCGAGAGGCCGTACCTGTGGAAGGGCATCATGATGACTGCATCCCACCTTGATGCTACTCGGCAGGTGACTCTTGGCAACGAGCTACTTGGAGATATTGTACAGGCAGCGTTCACAAAGCCGAAGAAGAGTTTGGATGTACTCCAGGGTTTGCAGCTGCTTGTTTCTTGGTAAGAAAGAGGCATTGATGCTTCGCTGGCTGACGAAGGCTGACTTAGCTCCAGGTATCATTATAACATCAACAGCTTCCAGCTCACGAACCTGCTTTTCCTCGCAAGGTCCATGTGTATAAGCTTGGGGTTCAAGGACAATCCCATCTCGGTCAAGGAGAAAAACACTCAAATCTGCATCGACGTAAAAGATACCGACGCCCCTGCAGTCATGACGAAGGAGCAGATGTCAACTCGGCTAGAGCTAATGAGGGCCTTTGCCGGTTGTTACTACCTCAATACACTGTAAGTGACATTCGGCCAATGAGGGCCGCTGCAATGCTGACCATGAGAAAGGGTCTTCACGACAAACAAGCGCCCAGACGCCTTCATGAACACTACATATCTTGAGTCTTGCTGTAGACAAATACAAGATAATGTGGAGTACCCTAGCGATGAGCTTCTTGTACAGCTCTTTAAGATCCAACAGCTGGCTCAAACCATCTCCATGACACTGGGGGTGGGAGCGGAGAGCACGAGCTTCCAATCGCTCCAGTTGCCCCTCACAATGGTGGTCCAGTCTTTCCAGCAACAGCTTGACATCTTCAAGACCTCGATTCCAGACCACTTAAAGGGAAATGGTACGTGTTACGGCTTGCCTATCATCTGAAGCATCTTCTCAAAAGTTTTTAGCTGGTCTCCTCACGCACGTTAGCATTGCGGAAATCCTCCTCTACGAGATTGGCATTCCGGAAGGCGAAGGTTCGGCGCGCTACATCTCTCTCACGGAGCGTCTGGAGCTTCTGTGGGGATGCTGCAACGCAGTCAAGACGTTCCTGGAGCGACGCTTCCACAGAGAAAACAATATTTCCATCATCCAACCGCGCTTCACATGCCTCAGCTCCTCCGACTTTCTCTACGTCTTCATCGTCTCCCTGAAGCTCATGACGTTGGAAGTGCCCGGCTGGGACATCGCCTTCGTCCAAAAGCACATTGACCTAGCTAGCGTTGTTGAGGGCCAAGTAGCGCATCTGGATATTTTCACCGCGCGGAGGGCCAGGAGGCCAAGTGCGGCGGTCGCCGCAGCAACAACTCCGGTCGGCGCGGCCGAAATCCCCGGTCCAAAGATTGTCGACCCTTTTTTGCGTCTGACCGAGATGCTGCGGTACTTCAAAGAGCTCGTCAAGGGGGAGGTGTGCAAGCTCAAGACCCAGCCTGCCATCCAGGAACCCATCCAGTTGCCGGCCAACCTGTCTGATGGCACTCAGGCCATGATCAGGGATCTGGATGCGACTTTCTGGAATGGAATGCTCGGGGAAGATCCTGGAACCTGGGATGTCGGGAATATGTTCTCTTCTATGGATTGGACTGCGACTTGAAAAGGCTGTACAACTACGCATACAGCATGACGAGAGCAGGATGCACAACAGATCCTGGCGTCTCGACCATCTCTCTGGACGACTACGAAGACATCAGAACCCCATCTGAGTGGGTGATCTCCCGGTTAACTGACGAAACTAATGACGGAATGAGTGTACGATTGTACAACACTACTCTTGTGGAAACTACTCGCTAGTTCTTGTTTTAAGGAGGCGCAAAAAACCGGCAATGTATACTAAGACCCCTCGGATAGGATTGGGAAAATTAGACTGTGACCTCTGGATTTTAATAATTGAAAAACATAGCAAGGGCATTGGGAATGCAGAACTTTGGAAGCCGGTGCACCAACCCGGCGGCCGGACCGATAATTCGCAATCGTCCGGAGGCCGAATCGGAGGAGCCTGAACCTTCCGGGTCCCATTGTATTTTTCACCACATCAAAAAGTTTCCAGAAGGGCCACAGACTCGATTTGTAGGTCAACAGTAGTGTCAGTTATGGGTCATTTGAAGTCAATGGGACTTTTGTGAAAAGAGACTACAAGAACATTTGTCGCAAGTTGTCGAAGCTCCATCAATTGCGGCCGCCAAGTTCCCAAAATTCCGCAAAACTCAGAAAGTTGATGTCATCCACTCTGCAGCAAGCCACATCCCGCGCCTCGGAGTCACCCTTGGCCGATTATATCCGCATTTACACGAGCGCGAAAAAACGGGCGGACCGTTGATTCAGTTACACACAACCGGCCGTTTTTCTCTTCCCAACACTTACACCCTTTCCTTTCAGCTTGAAGAAAAATACCGCAACCATGCCCAAGCCGCAGGTAGACTACGCCCTCTACCTCGTCACCGACTCCACCCCCGTCATCCTCGGCGACCGCGACCTGGGCTCCGTAGTCGCGGCCGCCGTGAAGGGCGGCGTCACCTGCGTGCAATACCGGAACAAGACCAAGGACACCGGTGACCTGGTCGCCGAGGCCAAGAAGCTGCACGAAGTCACCCGCGCTCATGGAGTGCCTCTGCTCATCAATGATCGGGTTGATGTCGCCCTGGCGGTGGGCTGCGAGGGCGTGCACATTGGGCAGGATGACATGGGTGAGCTACGCAACCCCTTCTACTCATGTTATGATGTGGTGAATGAGAATGTGCATGAGACTGAGACTAATATCTGAGCAGACCTGACTACTGCGAGAAAACTCCTTGGCCCGGATGCTATCATCGGCGTGACAGCGAGCACTATCGATGAAGCCCTCAAAGCGTGTGAGGGCGGCGCCGACTACCTGGGCATTGGAACCGTCTTTGCAACATCAACGTAAAATTTCCCCCCCTTTTTACTCTATCCCGCCCGAGACTCACACCGAATAGTAAAGAAAACACAAAGCACATCATCGGCACCGCGGGCCTGCGCGATATCCTCGCCGCAATCGACTCCGCAGGCCACTTCCCCGCCGTCAAGACGGTCTGCATCGGCGGCATCAAGTCGACCAATATCCAGCGCGTGCTGTACCAGTCCGCAACCCCCGCGGGCCCGGCCATCGACGGCGTCGCGGTCGTGAGCGCCATCGTCGCGGCCGAAGACCCGGAAGCGGAGTCGCGGATGTTGCTAGAGCTCGTGAGGTCCAGTCCCTCGTACCAGCAGGTTGTCAAGACGGGCACAGGCGTGAGCGATGTGAAGCAGCTTGTCGAGCGTGTTCCCGAGGTTGTCAAGGCCGTTGCGCAGGCGTCACCTCTTTCGCATAACATGACAAACCTGGTCAGTAGTCTTTTTCCCTCACAATGCTGTGAGTTGATGTTGGCTGACGAGAGAGCAAGGTGGTCCAAAACTTCGCGGCAAACGTGGCCCTCGCCGTCGGCGCCTCTCCCATCATGGCCAACTACGGGGAGGAAGCCCCTGACCTGGCTCGCCTGGGCGGCGCGCTGGTGATCAATATGGGCACCGTTACCCCCGACGGCTTGGCAAATTACGTCAAAGCCCTGGTTGCGTACAACGCGGCCAAGAGACCCGTCGTCTTTGACCCTGT